TTCGTCCATGAATTTAGCTTCAAATAAACCATGCACACACGCCACCCAGTAATGGATCTAGTGGCAACTAACTTGGACTTTTCGTTGGGAACTACCGTGATACCACCTTTTTTGGAACATATTGCACTGGACTCACCCATTGGCTATCAACAATTGGGAAGATGACTCTCATATCTAACCATTTTATTATTTCTTTCTTCACTGCTTCGTTCATAAGTGGATTTAAATTTCTTAGATATTCAATACTTGGTTTCCAATCTTCCATTAAGTTTATTTTGTGAATGCACACGCCCAGTGAAATACCTAAAGTTACAGCAATCGATCACCCCAAAGCCTTAATGTGCCTCTTTAACACTATAATCAACAACTCCACTTGCCATGGTTTGAGATCACTTGCAATAATTACCGGAAGTGTGTTGTTTCCCCCCAAGAAAACATATTTGAGATGAGGCGGGAGCTCCTTCAACCTTATTTCAGTAGTTCAATGATGGATGGTTTGGCGGGTGGTGCTTCTCTACTAGCCAAATCAAGGTCGAGTTTAGCTTGGAAATAATTGTGTGAACCCACACCTTTCAAGATCAGCCCCAACCTCATCATTGTCGTTGATTTCATTCTGATAATAATTTAGTAGCACTTGAGCCAAAGGTTTCCTACAATATGCTGCACTTCCAATACTTGTTACATCATCATCAATTTGATAAAAGTGAGACATAACATGCATGTAACTTGGGTATTTCATTGATTTGTGAATATTGAAGCTGACTACTTCATGATTGAATCAGAACTTCAACTCACTACCATCCACATCAACCAAAGCTTTGTCAGTGGCCAAGAATGGTCTACAAAGAATAATTGGCATCTTGACATCAATTTCACAATCAAGCACCACAAAATTCGTGGGGAACAAAAATTTGTCAACTTTAGCCAGCATATCATAGACTACACCCACCAAGTTTTTAATTGAACAATCAACCATTAAAAGCCTCATATTTGTTGGTTTTGGTTTCTCAAGCGCGAGCGTATCAAATACCATCAATGGAAACGCACCACCATCTACATCAACCAAAGTTTTGTCAGTGGCCAAGAATGGTCTACCAAGAATAACCGGCATCTTGACATCAATTTCACAATCAAGAACCACAAAATCCGCGGGTAACACAAATTTTTCAATTTTTGCCAAAGTATCATAGATCACACCCACCATTTTTTTAATTGAACGATCAGCCACTAAAAGTCTCATATATGTTGGTGTTGGTTTCTCATGCCCGAGCGTATCAAATACCACCAATGGCATCAAATTTATGCCGGCACAAAGATCACATAAATTTTTGGCAAAAGTATACTCACCAATAGTGCAGGGGATCGTGAAAGCTCATGGGTCATCTCTCTTGAAGACATCATTCTTTCCCATTATCGCTCCACATGTTTGAGGTAGTACAATTATTTCACAATTGATCACCCTTTTTTGTTGACACTAATTCCTTTATGTATTTAGCATAACTCGGAATTTCGGTCAAGGCATCCACCAATGGAATGTTCACTTTCAAAACTTTGACTATTTTCACAAACTTTTTGAATTTTTCATTGCCATTTTTCTTTCTCAACCTTTGCGGGAATGGAAGTGTGATTTTGATTTGAGGTAATGTCGCCAAAGTTTCAACGCCAATTTTTGTCACATTTACCTTTGGCATAATTTTCGCTTCTTTTTCTTGAACGTGCTCTGTTTCCTTAGGTTATTCGTTATCGACAGTTTCCCCTTGATAACTATAAATAGTCAAAATGAGAGAGAAAATATATAACTTTTTGATTATATTTTAGAAACCACTTTTGGTATCATATTTTTGAAGAACTTTTTAGTATGAACTTTGAGAAAATACTCTTATAGTTTCAGTGTTTGTGAGCAACCTTGTAATTGACAATAGAAGGTTCAAATTGAACAGTCTTGAAAATTTGCACTTAATTTCAATTCCCCAATGGCTGGAATCATAATGAGTATAATCTCTTTTCCTCTTATGATGCTTGGCTAAAATCCCAAATCTAGGGGTGTGTTTATGGGTTTGGGTGATTATTTATTGTAGTGGGTTTGTGTCTTGCTCTGTTTTATTATTGTAGATTCATGAATTTAAGCTAATTAGCATGCACGAGTTAAGGTTTCAAACGAAATCCTACCCTAGATCTTCGATTGATGCTCGAAATAGATTGATTGAATTGGGTAATTAGTTTAATGCGTGCAATTCATATTTGTTTACTATAGTTTGCTTGAAAGAGAAATTCTTATTCAATTCTAGTGGCCAAATCTGCTCGGAAGAGAGATTCTAGTAAGGTATTGCATTTATTTATGACTCACATAGATGAGACCGAAAGGATATTTAATGATCTAATGTTATGAGATCGAAAAAATATTAGTGTTATTTACTATTACCAGCCTATCCATGATAGTTTAACGATTATGAGCAAGCACAAATACCCCTACTCGACATTGATACAAATTCTCGCACCACTATATCGTCTTTTACTTGTTTGAAATCCTAATTTTAGTTTAATTATGTTACTTGATACCAAAACCCTTTTCATTAATTTGGTGGAATCATTCACCCATATCTTTTAATTGCTACAAACAAATTGGTTTGCACTCTTAATTTTCTAATTGAATTCCTTGCATTATATCACTCTATGTAGGATTTGACCCCGATTCTTGTTGGGCAATTTTATTCCTAACAACCGCATATTCTCTTACTTGTTTTGAGGGTAACTTGAGTGTGATCAATTTTTATAATCTGAAAAGCCCTAATTGTAACGAGCTCTTAAGTAATAGTGTATGCCTCGCTATTGTTGCATCACTCGAAATCAAGACTCTATTACGATTTCTGGCTTGTGAATTTTAGTTCATAAGTTAAAAGCTAAAAGCTATCCAAACAGGTTATAAAAATATTCTTTTTCTGGGTTTAATATTATAGCATCCGGTGAGAGTTTATTGTGCTTGAGATGGAATCAACCCAACATTTGAAGACACGATAGCATATATAATAACACACACTAGGGCTATCAATATGAGCTCATATATAGGTAACTTGCCCAACTCGTCTAGAATTTTATGAATTTGGCTTAAGGTAATTTATATTGGGTCAATCTCAACTCATTGAAGTCCTAATCATTTTAAGATAATCTTGCATTAAGTCCAATTTATTCTTCAATTCAACTTATTTTGAAACTCTTTATTAGCATTAATGCAATGTATATGTTCCCTTATTGAATGTATGAATTATCATCTATTTTATATCTTCTAAAATTTATATATTCATTATTTTCATTTGTAAATAAAAAAAATTGCTTTTCTATAATCAAAATAAACGAAAGAAACTAAATTGTATTGCATTTCATACAATACATGTTGAATGAATCATCTTAAATATTCCCTTCATTTAAAATAGAAAGATCTAACTTGACTTGACATGGAAATTAAGAAAATAAAGAAGAATTTCCAATCTTGTGATCCTAAATTAAATTTATGTCAAATATACCAAAAAAAACATTTTAATCTTGTGGCACTAAACATGCTACGTGATTAATTGAAATTAAAGTGTTGCAAAAAAAGAAAAAGAGTCATTATTTTTTAAGCAGACCAAAATTAGATTTTAGATCTTTCTTTTTTAAACGAAGGGAGATATTGTTTATTTGATGGTATAAAGTTTGATTACTTTTAATTTCAAAATCAATAATTTATTTTTTTATTTTCTAGACTTGGAATACAAATTGTCATTACAAAAGTTAAATACCATTTAGATTTTTTAGATTAAGCGGGTAAAATTATGCGGGTAATAACCAAATTTTTTAGCCTATTTGATCCAAAAGTAGATAAGGAAAAAATATTTGGATGAGTACTTTTTAATAAATAATTACTGATTTTAGCGATACTTTTTATTTCTTACTATCATTTATAGCAATACATAGTAATACTATGCTAAATTTGCAATATGTACTAAATGTGAATTATGTATGCAATACATATGTGTTATAATTGTTTTTTTAAAATATATTATGTTTGTTTGGTAAGAAATTGACACATTGTATTATAAGTGTATTAAAATATTTGATAAATGTATTATCTATCAATAATTTTTTTATTATAAATGAATAATAAATTGTTCTTTGTAATATGTATTAAAATTGTATTATAAATGTATTAAAAGTGATCAAGTGAAAAAAAAAAACGTTATAGATATAAATGGTAAATATATTTTAATATTGTATATTTATGTAAGTTTCCAAGTAAATTTGGGTGGGTGATAAGTGATAACTCAAACTGCTTTCTAATCCTTCTAATTTAGCCAATTTTATTCTCTCCAATTTCAGCTCAATTCGTCCACTTTACACCGCTAATATACACTAATGGATACGGTTATTATTTTCATCTTCCACTAAATCTAAAAACATAAAGATTTAAGGCCATTAGCTTAGATCCTTACTTGAAGTTCCTCTTCAACTCTGTAACCGGACTTGCGCATCGGCAGAGAAGAAAGCCTTTCATCTTTATGTTTTTATGGCTTTGTAGTAGACTGGGTTGTGTACATATTCCGGATCCGTTTTGAGTTTATACATAAGACCATCGGATCTCGAATTTATTTGATTAAAAAAAAAAAGAATATCCTTCTTCACAGGGTTGTTAGATACTTACTTGTGACTATTGTAATAAAATACAGAAGGTTGAATTTTTATTTTTTCTAGTCAGAAAATTATTTTAGTAATAAAATACAATGGTCCCGCACAATCGATACTGAATAAAATCAATAAAATAAGATGATCAAACAAGAAATGTACATCAGCAGAAATATCCAATTATAATAATTTCTCCGTTTTAGTTTATATGTTTTATTTAAATTAAAAAAACATCAAATATATCAAAATGTTTTTAAAATTTTATAGTATTAAATATGAAAAATTAAATTTGAAAATTAGACAAAAGAAAAATAAGTAAAGAATCATTCCTTTGAAAGGACTAATAAACAAATTAAAAGGGAGTATTATATTCGATTATGCAGTAGAGCACATTTGAATAAGTTTTATTCACGCATTACATTACATTACAATATTATAAGAGCAACACACAAAACGAGATGTCAAAAAACCAACTCATTTTGATGCTCCTGAACAACCTTAAATAATAAAATGGCACACCATATATGGAAGTTAATTAGTACAAACATGACACACTCTAATTAAATATATGTTTGTAAAATAGAATAGTGAACCTTTAAAATTAGGTCTCTAAAATGAGTTAGTTGATGAGTAATCCCAAAGACAATCATCCATTTCTTGGTAATCACTCATTTCATAAGTAAAGTTTATGTCTTCATGAGTAGTCCACATATTTGGTGAATCCATAGGAAAGTCATTAATAGCTTGAATTTGAGTTGGAGATAGTCCTACTGTAACTGGTGCTTCATGGCCATGACTAGTAGAGGCCATGATATTTGTGTTTTGAACTGTAATTGCAGCCTGTTGTGCAGCCAAACGTATATCTTCAGGGGAAGAACTTGCTGGTTTAGGGAAATGTCCAATCAACTCTGGGAAATTTAACTTAGCTGCATGTCCCCTGAGGTGAAATGCAGCTGAATCATATGCAGCCGCCGCCATCTCTGCTGTCTCAAAACTCCCTAGCCATATCCTCGTTTTCTTTCCTGGCTCACGGATTTCGGACACCCATTTACCCCATTTCCTCTTTCTAACACCTCTATATTCTGATGTTATACCGCCCATTCTCTTACCATCTTCCATTCTATTAATCAAGCAAAAGTGTGATCAAGTTAAGTATATATATAGTTAAGAGTACTTATTAAAGGGAACTTCCATGTTCTTTCAGAGGATTTGTGTGGGACAAGAGTGTTGAGTTTTAATATCTAAGAGTAATGCGTTACGGGTTAGCAGCAACTATATGAGACTCAGCACGTTTGTTATATATTGATTAATTAATAATGTTTTCAACTGTCGGTTTCTTAACAATATCTGGGGAGAAATTTAAATATTATTAGTAAAGGAAGAGGATAAATGGATGAGGTTCTTTGTTAGGTGATGTTTTCCTGTTCTAAGACACGGTTTTTAAGTAAGTGTCAAGTTTTCAGTTCAACTTTGATTTTTTTTAAAAAGTTAATTAAATGGCCCCACTCCACCTCGTACACTTTCCCACATCACTTCAACTAAGATGGAACCTACTGCTGCTCTTAAGGAACCTGTTAGAATGTTTGCGGTGATTTTTTTTTCTTTTTTTTTTTTACCATAATTGAATTTTTTTTAAAGTTAAAATGAATTTATTTTTTATTTGGCTAGTAACTTATCTCGTAGGAAAATGTTTATGACAGACACAATCCATAAAAATAGTGCTTCTCTCAACAAACCATAAAAATTTGTATGTTTAAATCAAATCACCTTTCAATTCAAAATCTCAAAAGAAAATGTTGTTTTTCCTTGAAATAATCATGTCTTAGTAGTAAAGCCAATAAGTTTAAAGTAAACGTCTCTTTAAAATGAAAATCCCAAACTCCTTGAGTAAATCAATAACACGCTCTCTCAGATCCCAAAACAAGTAAAATCTAAGGCAAATACTTCCTCCGTCCCATTTTATGTGGCACCATTTCCTTTTTGGTCGGTCCCAAAAAAAAATGTCACATTTCCTTATATGATAAGTATTTAAAGGTACAATTCCTCTTTTACCCTTGTTTGTCCCACTTAATCTTAAAATAATACTCCAATACATTTATGAGGAGAGAGAAAAGTGAGTCTACTTTTTTAAAGGGCAATTTGAACATTTCAAAGTCTTCATTTATTTCTTAAACTCCGAGTCCGATCAAATGTTGTCGCATAAAATGGGACGGAGGGAGTACCATTTAATGATCTCAAATTTAGATTTTTCTCACTTCCACCCCAAAGCATGTAAAATGGAGATGTCATGTGTATGAATGCAAGCCAAATAAAATCAATCCATTCAGAGTACATTCGTACTAACTTCGAACTCCAGTCAATCTAAGTCTATGGCCTCTGGCCTACAATCACAATAATCATCATAAAAGCTTGAAAATACCAAAATAACCACGCAATCACAATAAAAACCACCAACATGTCTAAATCTAAGTTTAAACTACCTAAGAGCATTCTAAGGATCCTACAACGCCAAACAAAAAGTTGGCTTGCAGGTGCAACTCCTTGCGTAGTTATCCTTCTTCCTTGGTGATGCCCACACTCCACAGAAGAGGCGTCGGTGGTGTGAGCCAGTCTCCGTAGAAGCGACTATACCAGTGACTGAAGCACCAACAGACTTGAAATTTATATTCCGAATTTCGAATGGACCCTTGGGATTTTATTGGGGTCCAATGAATGCAAACTGAATAAATATACCAACCAACCAAAAAAAATATTTTGGACTCAATAGAATCAATAAAATGACAAATAAATTTCGTCTCGGTGAAATACTGACACAAGTCAAGAATATCATAAAAACAACAAATCAAATAAGAATCCAAACATAACCTGACCATTATGGGATCTAAACCAAATGTCCTATTAGACTCAAACTCAACATTCAAGAGCTAACGGTGCTAATCAAAAGCTAGTTAGAGCCTGCTTATCAAGAATATTGACCAAAGTCAACCCTTTCTAAATAAAAGCTCCTAAATGAAAAATCTCATCCAAAGCTCTCCCAACTACCTCATGAAGTGTGCCACCCATTCTACACATCAAATACATTACATAGAAACTACGGAAAAGGGCAAAATAGGAAATAAATACAAAAGCAAGCCAAGGCCCTGGAGGGGCATTACAACATCTACTACTAAAAAGACTTTCGTTCCTAAAAGTTAATGAAAGGAAAGTACCTGAAGAATCGAAAAGGTGAGGATGCCTGGTTCGCGAGTCATGCTGGGCATCTCAAGTAGCCTGCTTGACTGGACGATGCCTGCACGTAACCTTTAGCAAGGGAATCTCCTTGGACCTCAACTTCCTAACTAGCCTATCTATAATAGACACAAGGTCCTCCTCGAAAGTTAAGTAATTATCAAGTTGATCCAAATCTGTCACAATCCAAACTTCCCCTAGATGTGACATGGCGAATAGGATCCCGAGAGAACCTAAAAAAGCCACTTGACATAAGCATACAACCAAGATGAACAATGAAAGATAATAAAGCATGAAAGTGTGATAGCATCCAAGGAAGCTCTACTCCATTGAAGGACAAGGATGAAGCTTTAGAAACCCCAAGGAGGTCCATAACAAGATCTCAAACCAAGGAGTTCAATGATAAGCTCAATGGGCTTCAATCGCTGATCCAAAGGTGTCTTATTGGGGAAGAAGAGCTCAAGCCCAAGGGAGAGGAATTGTCCAAATGCTACAATTATTTGGTGGCCCAAATTCAAGCCCAAGATGAGGAATTTTAAGGTCCAATTTCGTGCAAATAAGGTCAAGAAGAGTCCAAGAATCAGCCACAACAAGAGTTGCTTTCTGCCCAAGTTTTGAGAGAAGACTAGTCAAACTTTCCAAGATTGTCAAGATTCTTTTCCTAGTTGGGATTTACCTTATTTATTTATTTATATATAGGTTATTAATATTTTCCTTAGTCTATTTATGGTCTCCTAAGTACCATTTAATGCTTTCCTAGAAGTACTAAATTTGTTCCTAGTTAGGTTACTTTATTTCCTTTCTAGAGTAGGATTCCTTGTAATTGTTTTTTTTAGGGTTTGGCTTCTTGGACGTTTTTTCCCTTCTCCTATATATAGGAGTCCTTTTCATTCATTAAAGACAATTTAGATTGATATTAATAATATTTGAGAGAGTTCTTTGAACCTTTGTGACTTGTTCTTTGAGAATTTATCTTTAAACCTTTACTAGTTTCATAGTTTAAGGTATAAAGTAACTTCTTCTTGTGATATCTTTGGTTTCTTTTTGGTATTCTTTAGAAGGTGATTAGTTTCTACATACTAATTATTGTCTTTAGTTACTCATAAAGCGGTCAAGATCCGAATCTATCGTTTTGATTCATTTTCTCAAGTAAAGGCGTTAGATTTCTTCCATAAATCTATACGTTGTTACTTGGATCTTTTCAAGACCTTAGAACATCTAATCCTTGGAAATTCGTGGATCTTTCCTTCGAATCTCCCATATCTTTAGTTAGTTTTTGTTGTTTCTTTTCTTGTGCTTCCGCATTCTAATATTCAATTCTCTATTTGTGATCTCCTTTTAACCTTGCTGTTATCATATAGGCATGAACTAGGATTTAGGGTTGAGTAGCCTCAAAGAATTCTAATTGGAATTGAACACACCTTGTAGAGTCCCAACTTGAATTTTACACATGTTGTAGAGTCTCACAAAATTGTCTACAAATGACTCTTGCTTCAAGGCTTGTGAGATATGAGTCTCAACACCATAAACGATACCAAAATAAGAGTACAACTTCCTCATTTGTGGAAACATACTAAGTATGACAACAAGTCCCTATATCATAGTTATGACTGAGACAAATACCAAGCTCACAAAAGAAGTTCGAAAGTGAACTGACATAATAAAAACAATAAAAGATAGGTAGTGGCAAGGTCCCCAAAACATAAAGACTCACCAATCTTCTATCAATGCTGAATCAATCCGATTTTGCCACAGCCGGATGGAAGAACACCAGACCCTATATTATTAAACAAAATAGGCACACGATATGTATGTGTTAGTACTTTGAATGCACTAAATATGAGAGAAATGCATATAGACTATAGATACGAATATGAAAGTCCTGTGCACTTTCCCACCATGACAACTTTAAACATGTGTGGATATCAAATTATGAAAGGTTTTAGAAAATATGAGAGATGTTACTGCCTGAAGTTTTCACTAACCAAGGAAAAGGAAATTGTTAATGGTAAGTCAATAATCAATACAAACTAGTGGTCATCTTTATCGAGTCCATAAATTATTATTATTATTAGTTATACTTTTATCACCGAACCTATTTCTAGAGATATTAATGCTCTAATTGAAATGAAACAAAAGCATGTTGATTATTTACAACTTGAGATATTTAGTATGAATATATTCGATACTTTAAAATCTGCTAAAGTACAGGAAAAGATTAAACTCATTTCTGAAAAAATGGCCATTGATATTTGTGCTGATCATCCTAGTGCTTTTTGGAATCGAAAAAAACATATTGTAACTCTTCCATATGAAGATGATTTCTCTGAGGAAAATATCCCTACCAAATCACGTCCTTGTCAGATGAATAGCGAACTGGTTGAATTCTGCAAAAAAGAAATTGATAATTTATTACAAAAAGGTTTGATAAAGTCTTCCAAGTCACCATGGTCGTGTACTGCTTTTTATATTAATAACGCAGCAAAAAAAGAACGAGGTGTTCCCAGGTTAGTTATAAATTTTAAACCTTTAAATAAATTTTTAAAATGGATTAGATATCCTATTCCAAATAAAAGAGATTTATTAATCAGATTATATGATGCTAATATCCTTTCAAAATTTGATTTAAAATCTGGATATTGACAAATCCAAATATTTAGAGACCATTCTTATAGAACGGCATTTAATGTTCCGTTTGGACAGTACGAATGGAATCTAATGCCTTTTTTGTTAAAAAATGCTCCCTCAGAATTTCAAAAGATAATGAATGATATCTTCAATCCTTATTTGGATTTCATCATAGTTTATATTGATGATATTTTGGTATACTCATCATAGTTTATATTGATGATATTTTGGTTTATTCAAAAACTTTAGAGATGCATATTAAGCATCTAGACATTTTAAAGAAAATTGTTATTCAAAATGGTTTGGTAATTTCTAAACCAAAAATGAGTCTTTTCCAAACAGAAGTCAAGTTTCTAGGTCACCTGATTTGTCAAGGAAAAATTACTCCTATACAGCGATCTATTGAATTTGCATCAAAGTTCCCTGTTATTATTACAGATAG